CAATGACAATCGGTGGTTTATTAATATGGTTAAATGCATTCACTCGGTTCCGGATACATCTGTAATACTACCGAAGTTAATACAAGGATATGTCCCTAATGATTGCTTGCACGCCTAAGATAGCCTCTTTGAGATCGGTTACAAATCCGAGATTTCACTCTTAAGGTACTTATAGGTTTCTCTGTATTCTGTATCACTACTTCACATTTACTAACCTCTTTCCCTTCCCCCAGTTTATACTATATTTAATCCACATCTATTTTATGTTCACTTTAGTGTCCAGATAGAACTTATCTATTAAATTCTAGTTACTCTGACCCTGTCCGTTTTAGCCGCTATCATAGGACTTTCCCTCTATATTTACCTCCTGCAATTACAAACCTCCTGTACTTCCACATATAAATGCGACCCACTCAGTTCGGCTAATGTGCCCAGATTTGTAAAATACATGATCCGAAATTCATTTTATATTTCGCCTTAATAAGTAAACCCGTATACTGCAAGCTAATTTAAATTGTGCCTGCTGCCCCCTCTGAACAATTCTAGTTTATTTGTAGTAGAGCTTGGCCTCAAAATTATCATTCTTGGTGATATCCCTCAATATTACCATATTTTTTCAAGTTTGTTCCATGGTTTGACTAGAATCATATTAATAACCCTCCCTTGACTTCCATCATTCAAGTTATCTCCTTGATCTAGGCATTTATTTTCCGCCGATCTCATTTATTCTCTGTTTTCTTTGAGTTTTTCCAAACAATCTGCAATGTCATTCTTACTTATACCCTCTTTTAGTTTCTCATTCATTGAGTTTCCTTTGATGAGGATATAGATGGATGACCAGTCCTTCCATTATGGCCCAGTTTGCATTAGAGTCCGAAAGTCTGAACTATTTAATTATGAATAAAATAACTAACACAAATTATTATGCGGTAAATAGTTTTCAATCAAGATTACTTATTTCCTCAGTATATATAATTCACCCAATTAAACTTCATTAATGTAAGTCAAAGTAAATTTGTTCCTATTTACTGACAGTCAAAATATATCAACTTTTGCCAAATTTTGCCTTAGCCACCAATTCGACTCCGTCTGGCACTGATTCTATAGAAATCTTTGAAATTTGAAAATCCATAGTGTTCTAGCACTCTTTAAGAAAGCCTCAAAGAGTACCGTTTAATGTTGCAATAGGTTTAACCTCTTACTATTTTAACTGTTCCCGGAGATGCTCAATGGAGCCTAGATCTCAATGGTTGGACCTTCTATCTAAATCCGAGAGTTTGAACTTTCTCTGGTCTACCTTACATTTTCTCCCAATACTAGTTCTCCTCAAAACTATATTGACATACCTTTTTATTTTTAGATTCATCTTCAATTTTCTGTTCTTGGTCTTAGGATCTGAAAATGCATTTTTTAAATAACTTCTTTCTCAATTTGCATTTTGTCACTCACATTAACTACCCAAAGATATCTATGATCTTCCTATAAAGTCTTGCATCAGTTTCTTTGAGTATGAGAATAAAATTTAATACTTTCTCCAGGATCGCCATGAGTTTAAAATAAAAATAAACTGAATAAAGTAAGCTAATTTATCCTTATTATTTAGTGGATCTATGGGTCATTTCACGCTATGTACCAGCTCTAAAGATTGGCTTAACCTGGAACCGCTTTTTATTTCTTATATACTTAGCTTATTGTCGCTTAGCTATGAAGAGTTGGGTCCTCTCATCTTTTATCTTTCCTGCTGTACAATTTCCTCGCTGCTTCAGGAATAAGAATCCCGACTATGTCCCACCTGAGCTAACAATTCTATAAATAGAAAAAATATTTTCCTTTTCTTACGATACACTTATCTTAACTTCTAGATAGAAACAGGTATATTATTTCCTTAACCTTTCTTCAGAATAGGGGGAGCAAGGCATAACGCTTACAACTGCGTATAAGAGAATTAGGTGAGTAAGGGAAAGGAAGGGAGGTATGTAAAAATAATAGGGAAGCTTCCAAAATGACTTAAGATTGCCTCGTTAAATCCGCTGTAATCAGGGCATCAGCTGGTCATTTTTATATATAATTGTAATCAAGGAATAAGGGATAAGAAGATGCGTTCAGAGGAAGAAATGCTATAGCCCTTCGAAGTTATATTGGCCGAAAGGTTTTACTTTAACTTTTATTTCGAAAAGTTGTACTGGTCCTCTATTGTTAATGCTTCGCACCAAAGAAGCGGATTACAAAACTGGCGAAATCTCTTTAACTGTAAATTGTAATCAGTCCGATGCTGGAAGAATACGAGGAGAGGATTATGGAGGACACGGTAAGGGATATGCTCTGCAAAGTCTCGCCGAAAACAAGAATAATTTGCGAAAACTATGCTAAGTAAATTCATTAACCATAAAGCCTCTGACGTTCTGTATACAATCAAATCCCTGTTCTTTCAGGTTTGGCAGGCCTCCAAGGCAAAATAGGAAAGCCCGGGCCGTCTGGATTAGATGGTCTTAAGGGAGAAAAAGGTTTGCCAGGAAGAGATGTATTCGGTCAAAAGGGAGAAAAAGGTTTGTTTGGACCAAAGGGAGCGCGCGGACAAATTGGTAAGTCTAATGACTGTAAATAAATAAAATCTAATACGATATTTATGAATCCAACTATTATCATGTAGTCTAGGCATATGAATCAAAATCGAAACTTCGCATTACATTTATAAACAATCTTGAATACTTGATTCCTGTGCATGTATATGTTTGTATTATAGTGAATAAAGGCATGAGTGATTATTCTTAAAGCAATTATTTGCATAACAATAACTTCATGATTTTAGAGATTT